CCGGGAAGACAGACAAACAGACGAACGGACGGACAAATGGACAAACGGACAAACGGTGGCCCTGACGAGGTTGGGGGAGAGGGTGCCGAAACGCGCCCGGAGTCCAGCAAGGCATGGGGGTGCACACCCGACTCGCCTGGCTGATGTTTTGGGGGGGCCTGTGCTCAGGGGAGGCTGCAGCACTGCTCAACGATGTGCTGTTTAACCGAACCTGCAGGGTGGGCCCTCTACCGAATCCGTGCTTCGGTGCGGTCGTCTGCGCGCCTCGTCTACGTCGTAGTCGTCGTGGTCGTCGTCGTCGTCGTCGTTGTCGTCGGCGTCGTCGTGGTCGTGATGCGTGTTGCTCTGCTCGGGACTTGTTTCTCTTACGCAGTGACCACCACCACCCACTGTCATCGTCGACATCGTCCCCACCATCGTCATGAGCACCGTTACCGTCATCGTTATCGTCGCTATCGCCACCTAGTTGAGTTGAGATTTTCCCAAAAACGGATGCTGGCTTGAACATCGATATTGACAACTTCAACATTTGCAGAGCACGAACCACTTCCCGGACCGAAACAAATGACAACGTGACCTCCAACCGACGCCAGGGTCATCCGCCCCCATCCGCGTATCGTCTTGCCTGAACAATGCTTCCACTCGGGGGTCTTACTCCGTCTGCTTGAAGATATTGGTTGGAAAATTCAATGTTTTCGCCACGTTGCCGCCCGAACTGCCTTGTGTAGGGGGAAAACAAACCTACCTCGCTTTTGACCACCCTCGCTTCCAAGAGATACCAAACGATGCCAAATTGCAGCCTGTACTGGTCAGGCCGCTTGACGAGGAGGCGCGTGGTATGACTTGGTTTTGCCTGGAAGCGAAAGCGGGGTAGGTATTTCACGCTCTGATTGTGGGCGCCCCGTGCGCTGGGGGGTCTGCCGAGGCTGTGCCACGTTGCCGTCCGTGCTGCCTCGTTGGCGCTCGTAGCCGCCCCGTGCACTGCGGGGGTCTGCAGAGGTTGCGCCACGCTGCCGCCCGTGCCGCCTCGTAGGCGCGCGTGGTCGCCCCGTGCGCTGAGATTTCACCACGTAGCTCGCACCACATAGTTTACACGACCTACAACCGAACATCGGATTCAGAGAATTAGCAATTACGGTAAGAAAGCTGGGCCAACTTTTCAGAAGTTTCTTAAGGAAACGCTGGGCCAGCTTCTGGAGCCAGGAATGTGCGCTACTCATTTCTAGGGTCCAAGGCTACCAATCCCCTTAAATAAACTGAGCCACCTTTCTGGCAAGTTGGTTGAGAAACGAAGGGCCAGCTTTTCGGGGGGAGGTTTCTTAATCATAAGCGGGACCGTAGCTTAACCTCAGAGCTTACACCGCACAGCTTGCACAGTACAACTCGAGCCATACAGTTCAGACCAGAACTCTCAAGTCCAAGTCATCCAAATCGTGCTAGAATGTAAGCACGTGTGTGCATGGTCAACGACAAAAGCCAGTGTTTGCCCAACGTAACAGCCGTCGGAATTTCTGCGCGCGCACTTCCTCAACACCTGCATCGGCGCGCCACCATCATCTTCATCGGCAAGGGCGTCACTGCCATCGCCATCACCATCACCGCCACCTCCGCCAGCGTCGCCGTCATCATCGCCACTGTCATCGTCATCGCCATCACCGTTGCCAACGCCCTCGTCACCAATACCACCACGATCACCGTCATCGTCGTCGCCGATGTCGTCGCCACCATCCTCGCTTCCCAGCCCGAGCCATGGATCTGCATGAGAAGGGTCATCGCGTCATTGCGCTGAAGGGTCAGAGTGTGCAATAATCCAGTCAGGATGGTGCTGAGCCGCATCCCGCCATGATGACGAGAGCCTTCAGAAGCGCCCCCCAAAACCTCTGGAGCGAAGGCGTCGATGTCGATCTCGTCGCCGTGCGCCAGCGACCTCGACCCTCGAACTCAGCTCCTGGCCCCAGCCCTGTCAATGCCACGGGGGGTCACCACATGCGGGGACACCTCCCCCTCGACGAGCACCCAACAGGACCCCCAAGCCCCTCGGATGCTTCAGAAGCTCGGAGATTGTTTCAAAATCCTCTTTGACCCTCGACCCTCGACCCTCACGACTCGATACTCAAGACTGGGCGGCGCGCCTGGGGGCGAAGTGAGAAGCGGCGGGTCTTCTCAGAAGGCTCGGAAGTTCCTCGGCCGTCTGAGAAGTTTCCAAAGCCCTCCCCGAAAATACAGAACACCTTTCAGAAGGCCCGAGGGCTTCTGAGAAGCCTCGCAACCTTATGAGAAGGCCTTCTCCTTCTCACTTCCCCCCTTCGCTCGCCGCCGAAAAACGACCTTGCGACCCCCGGCGACCACGCTGTTGATGACGGCACGTGGCGACGGCGGCAACTGCGAGCGGCGACTGCGAGCGGCGCTGGCGAGCGGCGCCCCTGGCGTGTGCGACTCCTCCTCCAGCGCTGCAGCTCTTGTCGTGACGTCGGCCCCTGGGGGCCTCGGCCACTTCCCCGCGGCCGGGCCTCTCACCCCGAGCCGTTTCTGCTGACGGCCCTGGGGACGGGAGACGGCCCCCTGAGAACGAGCGAACGCACGAACGACGCGCTCCATCGGCCGGGAGGCCGTCCCGAGACGGGTGGCGCGGTGGCGCCTCAGCGCCCTCAGTTCTGGTACTCGAAACATGGTCGAGTCGGAGCTGATGGGCCAACTCTCCACCGCCACTCCAAGATGTAGGGAGGATGGCGGGGTCTTCCTCATCCCCTCCTCCTCCTCCTCCTCCTCCTCCTCCTCCTCCTCCTCCTCCTCCTCCTCCTCCTCCTCCTCCTCCTCCTCCTCCTCCGGTTGATTCCAGCCAGCGTTTGCACTGCCCGCCGTGCCGCTGGCCCCAAGAGGCCGAGCACAAAGAAGACCCGGGGCCGACACGACTGCGTGTCGTGCGGCGCCCGGACCTGGGGCGACCCCGCCCGCCCCTGCTCGTTCCGAGGGCCTTCCTGGGGCCTTTCCCACTCACCCACTCGCTCACTCACCCACTCACTGACTACCTACCAGACCACCCCAACCCAACCCGAAGACCCGAATTGGACCCCAATTTCGGGTTGGGGGGGGGGTACGGATCCCATGTGTTTTTTCAACGTTCCCCGACCCCCCCCCCACTGGAAATCGAGGATAAATTTGGACCTTCGGGTTGGGTTGGGGTGGTTTGGTGGGTGGTGACTCACACGCCTCGCAAGGAACTCCAAAGCGAATGTTCGGGGATCCTCTGACCCGGGTCCGTCCAGACCCGGGTCGCTCAGGCCCTGCAGAATCCTGCGAGGTCCTGCAACATCCTGCACCCAAGCCCGGGTCAATGCGAAGGATCCTGCAAGGCCCTTCAGGATCCTGCACCCAAACCCGGGTCAATGCGACCCTGGCCCTGCAGGATCTTGGAAGATCGGGCGTTCTGGCTGACCCCCGTTTGCATTGACCCCGTCTCGAGGCTCCCGAAGTGTCCTCTACCCAGCGTCGCCGGGCAAATTCCTCGCATCCGCCTCTCTCGTGGAGTTCAGGGGGAGCTGCGCTACAAAATAGCATTTCACCATTGCACCCGCGGCTCCCACCAGTCATGCGTCGATGCTGCGCCGAAGGCCCGTGAACTTGAGCCGACGTTGTGTCGAACCAGAGTCGAACTGGAATCAAGCAAGAATCGAACAGATCCGTTCGGTGGGCGACCAGGGAAGGTCCAGAAACACACTCCGAACCATTTTTTTGCAATGACTCGATCTGTGGCAACCCCTCCTGTATGGGGCCCCGCAAACATTGATTAACGATTCATGGATTTGGCGCGCGGTCGCCAACTCCATGGATCGGGGGCGGCGCCCTCCCCAAAGTACGGCCGGTGCCGCCTCGTTCAGCGGCGGAAATCCGCGATCTCCCATGGAAACGGGACCCGTCGCTAATCCACGCCGTCTTGATCCATGTGTGCGATCGCCTGGCTGTAGGCAGCAAGAAAACCGACACCACCACCAGGGTACATTTTCCTGAGCGGTCCAAGATCGAAGCTGGGGGACAAGACGGACGGCCCCTGCCCTACCTCAGCGCAGCCAGCCTCCCACGCCCCAAGACGCACTGCAGTACAACAACGCACCCACGTCTGGCGCACATTTGAGTGCCGACCTCTCTCTGGTGTTCCCGCACGTTTCTCCAGCCGACCCTTTTTTATTTCCCAGCGCAGATTTGGAAGGAAATTGATGGACGCTGAGGGGAATGAAGCGCGACGGACCTCTGCAGCGCCGAAGGCAAAAACCTGTAGTGGCCCCAGGCTCGGGACTCGAGGAGGGGGGTGAGAGAAAGAGGAAGAGAAGGAAGAGGATGACGACGAGGACGAGGAGGACGAGGAAGAGGAAGGCGAGAAGAGAAAGAGGAAGAGAAGGAGGAGGACGACGAGGAGGGCGAGGAGGGAGAGTGGGCAGCGTGGCTGCCAACCACGGGAGCCCTTCCTTCTGCTCACCCTCCCGCCCACTCTGCCCCCTTGTGGCCGGTTTTTTGCTCAGCTGGCCATGGTCTTGCCTACGGGCCTACGCTGCAGCGACGGATCGATAGGCCTCCCAGATGGGGTCCGAGTAGATGGGGCCGGAGGATCGCGCCACATCGCCAATACATCGCTGACGCATCGGCAATGCAGCGGCGATGCACCAGCGATGCATCGGCAACGTCGGCGGTGCATCGGCGACGCCAGCGCGGAGAAAATCGGGCCCTGCATCGAGCCACATCGGCGATGCATCGATGCGGCGCGATCCTGCGACCACATCAACTCGGACCCCATCTGGGAGGCCTGATGGGCCGATTTTGTACCTCCACTACCATAGGTAGGAGAGGGAGCGGGAGCAAGGGGAGGCGAAAGAGGAGGAGGAGGAGGAGGAGGAGGAGGAGGAGGAGGAGAAGGACGGGTCGCCTAATCCCTTCGGAGAAGCCCATCCAACCCCTGCCAGGCACCTCCCGGCCCCCTCCTCCCCCGCGGGCCCCTGGCCTTGGGCTCGGCGGCGAGAGCTCCTCCCAGCAGCTGGGGGTGGGCGCGGCGGCATCCGCGGCGGGCTCCTGGCGATGCCGAGCGGCGGGCTTCGCGGGCTCGCCTCGACGACGGCGACGATGGCGACGATGACGACGACGACGACGACCACGACCACGACCACGACCACGACCGCGACCGCGACCACGACCTCGACGACGACGACGGAGACGGCGACGAGCGAAGCCGCCGACTCGCACGTCAAGACGACGCAGCGTGTGCGGGCGGGGCCGCGTCGAGTCCGGGTCGGCCTCTGCGGAACTTCCCCAACGATGCGTGGGAGAGCGCGCTCGGTAGAGGCGGATCGAGGATCGAAAGCGATGGAGGTTTGGGACTCCTTCTGGGCCTCCGAATGCCTCCCCAGCTCAGGAAGAGTCTGGAATCTTCCCCCCGTAGAGCCGTGGATGCGAGCAGCACCGATGTTTAGCCGAATCAGCCCCAACCACTTCTTGTACCAAGGGGATCTGACCTGGCCCTTTCAATTTTTTCCATCCCCACAGCCAGGAAGACGCCGACCCACTCAACAGACCAATGGCAACCTCACCGTGCCCGTGAGGTGGACCCCAAGCTCCGGCCCGAACAACCCCGCGGACAGCAAATCGTGTCGGCCACTCGGGGATGGACAGACCCCCCTTTAGTAAAACGTGGTTTAGTGAAAACGACCTGAGGCCCAAACCTGGCGGGCGCAAGCCTGGAAAATAACGGCCGCGGCGCCCTCTCGAGAACCGAAAACGGACAATTCACTAATCGACGTGTCACTGTTGGGGGTTCTGTCCGCCCCCGAGCCACGCTCGATACTGGGTGGCACGTCTTTAGCCCGCGCAGCGAATGGCCGGGAAATGCCTGGTTTCCCCAGCTCTTCCAGTCATGGCCTGGCTCTTCCAGGCTTTCGCCCGGCGGTTGCCCGTGGGCAACCCGGAGGCCGCCAACTGGTGCGCGGGCTGGTGGTCGCGGGCCTGCGACCCGCGGGAGCCCGTGGGCGCCTCGTGGCCGTCGGGTGCGCTGGCTGCCGGTGCTGGAGCGCCTCGCGGGCGCCTGCTCCTGCGCTGGCTGGCATCCCTCGCTCTTCTTGTCTGCGGGCGCCCGTAGACGCCTCGTGAGCTGGCTTGCGCTGGCGGGTGCACACGTCGATTGCACTGCGCAGCTTGCTCCAAGTAGCTACAGCCACACAGCATGCGACTCGAAGACTGCACGAAGCAGCAGCACATAGATTGCACCACTGCCATAACGACATCTACACAGTCGCTTGCACCACACAGCATGCAACACCCAGTTTGCACCAGGCCGCATCCGCCTGCGGCCCTTCCGCCTGCGCCTTGGGGGCCGCGAAGGGCCGCACCGGCCCCGGAACTCCGTGCAGTCGCAATGGGCCCCAGAAAAGGGGGGGACGCAGGACGCAGGGCGCGCGAGTCTGCCGGCCAGCTGGCAGGTCTCCCATGGCCGATACTTTTCTCCCGCGCAGAGGGCCCGATGAGCGCAGGTCCGCCGTGCCCTCCAGGGGCCTCTGTACTCAACGCGAAGAACCGATCCGCCACCGACAGCTGGCAGGCCCCGCATGGCCGAATTAGAGGCATCCCAGGGGTCCGAGTAGATGGGGTCGGAAGACCTGACCTCGCCGCATCGCCGATCCATCGGCGATCCATCGACGATGCCTCGCCGATGCATCGGCGATGCGCTGGCGACGTCGGCGATGCACCGGCGATGCGTTGGCGTGGAGAAAAGTGGGCCCCACATCGAGCCGCATCGGCGATGCATCGCCGATTCATCGGCGATGCGGCACGATCCTCCGACCCGATCTGCTCCGACCCCATCTATTGGGGGCGCGCACACATGGATTAGCAATCCATGGATTAGGCGCGCGGTCGCCAAATCCATGGATCGGGGGAGGCGCCCTCCCCAAAGTGCGGCCGGTGCCGCCTCGCTCGGCGGCGGCAATCCGCGATGTGCCATGGAAACGGGACCCGTCGCTACACCCCCCCTTGATCCATGTTTGCGATAGCCTGACAAACAGCGTAAGCATAAACTTTTGACTGTCCGCGCGGATTTCTCGGATCTGGGCCGGAGCCCCCAGCCCTGGCGCTCAGAGCGCGCCAGGGGCGGCGCCGCAGGCGCTGCCGGGAGGCCCCAGCGCAAATCCCAGAAGCCCGCGCGGAGCGCCGAAAGTTTGTGCTTGTGCCGCTCTTTCTTCGTCAACCGCCCCCGCTGCGAGGCCTCCCCAAGAGGCCTACAGTCGGGCCGCTGAAAGAAGGAACGAGAACTAAGGCACGAAGCCCCTTCTTGGCCCTGTCAGCGCCTCCGTGCCCCAGGAGGGCAAGAGGAACAGCTCTGGAGGAACCTGAGGAACATCGAGCCCCGTCCGAACCCAAACGGTTCCTCCTTTCAGCGTCTTGGCTGTACAGTCGGGGCGTTGACCTAAGGAACCCTAAATAAGGAACGGGGCCCCTTTCTCCCATACGCTGAACTTCGATTTCCCATGGGAAGCCTCAGGAAAACTGAAGGCAAACGGCAGAACAATCAAGGAACGCCGAGCCCCTCTCTAACGAAAAGGGTTCCTTCTTCAGGGCCCCGACTGTAACGGACCCAGGTCGGCGCGCGGGGCCGTCGTGGGGGCGGCCTCGGCCACCCGCCCGCGCGCTGCGCGCAGCGGGGCCTTCGCCGCGCTGCCCCCCCCCCCCCCTGCTGCACGGGTTCCCCCCCAGGGCCGTGGGCGACCCGAGGAGGAGGAGGAGGAGGAGGAGGAGGAAGGAGGAGGCAAGAGGGAGGAGGGACGAGGAGGAGAAGGAGGAGGACGAGGAGGAGGAGGAGGAGGAGAAGGAGGAGGGACGAGGAGAAGGAGGAGGAGGAGGAGGAGGAGGAGGAGGAGGAGGAGGAGGAGGAGGAGAAGAGGGCCGCCTAAGCCCTTCGGAGAAACCCTCCAGCCGCCCCCCCCCCCCTTTGGACGCTTCCGGGGAAGAGCGCCTCTCCAGCCCACACGGCAGGCCGCAAAGCCGCGTGGTCTTCGCGCCACCGCAAGCGACTCGGGCGACCGGGTTGAGCCACACCCGCGCAAGACCGCCACGAAAGGCGTCGAACGGCCCGAGAGGAGGCGAGCGGCCAGCGGGAAGCCTTCCAAACGGTCGGGCCCCGCCTCGCAACTTCTGTCTGGCTTGGCGCTGACCTTGGTGGGACCTCCGCTAGCGCCCTGGATCCACCATGCTGAACCATACCTTGCAAGGCTGTGATGGAATCGTTTTCACGACGCTGCATTTAAGCGATCTGGCGCGAAAGTTGAAGCAGCGAGCGTTGCAGCTGGCAGGATGTGCAGGTATTACTGCGGGGGCGCCCCTCCCCCGAAACACGACGGTGCGCCCTCAGTGTATTCCTCACAATTCCACAAGCATCAGAACTGGTCTTGGAAGAATGGCCAGGCCGAGTCGGCGTTCATTGCAGTCGAGGTTGTGGTCCTCTGTTGGAATCAAAGCTCATAATGAATCGGCTGTATATGGGAGGCAGAGTGTTGTGGATGGGAGGAGGATGAGGAGGCGCCGAGAGGATGCTGATTACGAAGAGGAGCAACGGGTGACGCGGAGGGGGACAAGGGGGACGAGGGAGCCAAACCCAAGCGCGAAATCTGCTGATATCGCATCGCATGCATCGACGGGGAGACCACATGGGCCCGCACCAAAAGCCACTCCGGCAAGGGGTCACTCTTACGTGTAGTCGCAGCCCCCCCCCTCCCCCGACCCACCCCTGAGGCCCAGCAAGGGGAGGAACCCGAACCCCGACCCTTGCGCCCGGCCGAAGCAGTGGCAGGATCAGTCAGCATCGAATCGGCAAATCGGGTCGAACCGAAAGGTGCATCGGATCGGCCTGCATCGGCACGGAGTCAAAACCGAATCGGATCGCCTGCGCCAGGATGCGCAGCAGCGCCATGCAGGCACTGGGCCTCATCGGATCCAAGACGAAGCCAGGACGAGGACGAACTCGGGTGAGGACAAATCGGGAACCTCTGAGATCTGGCGGCTCTGGAGGTTGCATCGGGCGCCGCGGCCCTCTCAGAGCGCTTCGGAACGCCCTGAGGGCGTTCCAGAACGCCACGGAACGGACTGATCCTCATCATCGTTATCATAATCATCATCATCATCATCATCATCATCATCATCATCATCATCATCATCATCATCATCATCATCATCATCATCATCATCATCATCATCAACATCATCATCATCATCATCATCATCATCATGATAATCGTCGCCATCATCATCATCGTTACCAATAAAAGGCACCATCAGTGGCTCCGTCGTTATCATGGTCACTATCGCCGCCAGCATTGCTGCTATCATCACCGCTGCCGCTTTTTTACCGCCACGCGCCACGCGCTGCCACTGGAGTCAAGTCGGGCGTGTCCCTCTGCAGGAAGAGTACACAAGAATAGTCGAACATAATAGTCTGGGAACGATTTTGTTGATGATGTTTCTATTTTAGCATATTGTTTTGATTATTTTCAAATTTTCTTCCAATATCCCTCTCTGTAGGAGGACGTGCCCGACCTAACACAGGAGTAGAGGGTAACAACCCACCTCCCCAAGATTCATAACCACCCCGACGCGCGACGCCGTTTACTGAACGCACCCACTTACGAAATCGGACAGGGCAAGGCTGTTCAGTAAACGCCCAAGGCCGTTCAGTGAACGCCCAGGGTGTCCGGTCCGGGGGTGGCTTTTCCTCCCTTGATGGAGGCCACGCGAAGCCGTTTACTAAACGCACCCACTTAAGGAATCGGACGGGGCAAGGCTGTCTAGTAAACGCCCAAGGCCGTTCAGTGAACGCCCAAGGGTGCCCGGTCCGGGGGTGGCTTTTCCTCCCTTGGATGGAGGCCACGCGCACGGGGGGGGGGCCGTATGCGGCGGGCTCCTCCAGCCGCAGGTCTCCCCAGGCGCTGGGCGCCCTGCAGAGGGGGCACGCCAGTACCTCGTCGCACGCCTGGGCGGAGGCTATGGCCCCCCTCCTCCTCCTCCTCCTCCTCCTCCTCCTCTCCTCCTCCTCTTCCTCCTCCTCCTCCTCCTCCTTCTCCTCCTCCCCCTCCTCCTCCTCCCTCCTCCTCCTGCTCCTCCTCCTCTTCCTCCTCCTCCTCCTCCCTCCTCCTCCTCCTCCTCCTCCTCCTCCTCCTCCTCCTACATCCTCCATCCTCCATCCTCCATCCTCCATCCTAGGAATCCTCCATCCTCCATCCTCCGGAGGCCTCGTCGTCGCCATCGTCGCGTCTCCCTTCTTCTCGGGGGGAGTGCGGCGAAGAGGGCGGGCGGACGGAGGGGGGGGGGGGGGGCGAACTGGGAACGTGCGGAAAGGCGGGCGGATGGGGGGGGATCAAGCAGGGAAGCGGCAGGGGAACGGAAAGGTTATCAGTCAGAACGAAGGTCAGGAGCCAGAAGGGCAGAGCCAGAGGTCGCAGGTCGAAGAGCGGCAGATGAGCCCGAGCGTGCTCGTGCGGGCAAACCGCTGAAACATATAAATGTTCAGAGTTCTCTGAAGAACTCACGTCGTCTTGACCCCTGGAGCGCGAGGAAACGAGGCCCCAAGCCGCGCTCCCTCGACGCCGTGCCGGGGAACTTTCCCGCCGCGAGGGGACCCCCTCCAGAGCGGTGGCCTCGCGTGGGGTGCCCTGGCAACAACGCCCCCGGATGCCCTGGGACAGGAGGGGGGGGGGCAGGGGTGGGCGAGGGCCGCGGCGCGGGTCAGGGCAGGTGCTGGGCGGGGCGGGGCGCGACGAGCTCACGAGCAACCGCAGAGCGGCGGAAGGCGGGCTGCCTGCGCGTGCGTGGCCAGGAGGCACTGGAGGTGGAAGGAGTGCCCACCTGGCTCGCAGGCGGGGGGGGGGCGACAGGCCAGAGCGCGTACGCGGCGGTGCTCTGAACCTCCCGCTGGTCTGGCTGCTGCTGCTGCTGCGGCTGCTGCTGCGGCTGCTGCTGCGGCTGCTGCTGCTATCTCTGCTAATGCCCAACGCCCCTCAACCCAGAGCAACCAAAGCGATTTGTTTCACTGAAGTGGCAAGCACCCCCGTGCAAACTTGCCTTTCTGTGAATTACTTTGGGTTCTGCAACTGTATACAGTGCCCCACTGTCAGCCATACTGGCCGTTTCGCAGCCCCCCTGAAACATGCAAAACAGCTGGTGAGGGCGGATGAGCGCGCGCGTATGTCAAACCTTGCGCACGGTGTCATGTTCAGAGGCTTCAGCTAACGATCGTGCCTGGCGAACCTGAACTGGCTACGGCGGCGATGATGTGGTGCCGCCCGTTGGTATCAGTATCAAACGATCAACAGATCGGCTACTCCGTCAAGGCTGGAAGATTACAGCAGAAGCGCAAGGTGCGCCATTGGTGTAGCTTACTGTCCGTGGTCTTTCGCAAGTGGCCTTGCAAATCAGGTGAGTAGCCGAAGGGGATGGCAAACCTCACTGCTCCCAACCAAACGATGGATGCGATTACCGTCTTCAATGCCACATTGTCCATACCAACTTCGTGTATGAATGAAACTGCCACTAAGAAAGTACATCGAAAATAGGAAGGTTTTGGACAATGACCTCGCGGCTTCCCGCTTTCACCACAACTTGTCCCCTATCGGGTTTACTCCAAATGAACGGGCAAGGCCGATTCCATCCGTCATGGTCGTCTAGTGTAGTGGTGAGTCGACGGTAATCTACAAGGTCACCTAGTCTGCATTGTCATGCTCCTTCTGGTGTTGTCTTAGTTCGGAAGCCGCGATGGGTATTGGTTACTGCTGTTTCTTGGGCTATCTCTTCAAAGCTAGGTTATCGAACTAATAGTTATCGGGCTTGCGCCGACGTCTCTACCTCCTCCTACATCGCCTATCACATGCAAGTCTGGAAGACCGGATGGCTGTCTGCCTGCGCATGCCTTATATGGAGAGACACCGTTGTAAACTATAAAGCATTACCTTCGAAAAGGGCTTCGGCGAGAATTCGTTTGAGGCTCAAACGAATGTCGTGTCGTGTCAGATATGCTTACATGTGGTGCATGGTGACTCGAAGTCTTCAGTTTCAAGCTCCGATGCCAATGGCATGTTGTCCAGGCGCTCGTATCCGCAGTTCTGTACCTGAGTTTTTCAATATTCACTTGTGCTGTGTTTTCGTTTAGGGCACAAGCGCCATCGGAGTAAATCCCTTGTCCTGGACCGTATATGCTGCGCTAGTTTCGCTGGTAAGCCTGGAGGAGAGCATACATTTCCTTATCCGAGTCTCTTACCCAGTGCCCCAGCGCATGCACCTGTCGATCATATTGACGACAATGTGGTCCTTGTTGTACATTAGGTCCACTCCTGCTTCAGCGTTGGATGTGCCTGAGAGGCTTACCCAAGGAAGCGCGGCGTCACCGGGTGCGTAGCTCGTTCTTGACCTGTGCAGGGTTATAGCTGCGTGAGTTTTGCAAGCTGTACTGAACATTGAACCTGGTCCTGTCGGGCAGTCGTTCAGGGCCCGTGCCAGTGCTGGTGCGAATCCTGCGTGCTGAAGATGGTTGGATTTGGTCGGATCTGCTGGCAGTGCGTCTGGTGGTGGTGGCACTCCTTGGGGTCTGCCGCGCCTTGCTGTGACCTGCGTGTCGCCGCGCAGTTGCGCGTCTCGTGAGGGTCCGCGAAGATCGATCCCCTAGGCTTAGGTCAGGCATGTCCCCCTACAGGTGGATTTGGGATGATTTCTCCGACCAGAAAATCATAACAACATATATATTCAAACATAGTCAACAAATACTCAAGACAATGTCCCCATGCTATGTTTGACTATGTTTGAATATTCCTCCTGTAGAGGGACACTCCCGACTTAACCCTGGGCGGCGGTTATGTATACATCCCCGCCTCGGACCCCCCTCCTCGCCTCGGCCTCAGCCCCCTCCCCAGTCTCGGCCGAGCCGCTGGAGCGCATCGCGGCCAACCGCGCCGAGGTCTGAGGGCGACGCGAACCGCCTAATCGTTGAGGACTTGGCGACTTATGCCGTCCCTCGACTGCTCGCGCTGGAGCGGCCACAATTTGTTTTGCTCTATAAAAAACCTTGCAGATCTTTTGGATTTACCTACGCTACCCGTATTTGCCCGGATCCCGACTTATCTGCATGTAACTTAAGGTACCCAGCTTGATTCCTACAAGTCGATCGGCGAAAAGTCGTCAAGCCCTTGGGGAATAGAGGGCAGAAACATTCACCCCGATAAGAACCACCCCGACACGCGAGGCCGGTTGGTACACGCACCCAACGAAGGAATCCAACAGGGCAGGGCTGTTTAGTAAACGCCCAGGGCCGTTCAGTAAACGCCGGCTGTCGGGTCTGGGTGGTGTTTCCTCCCCGTGAGGGAAGGAAGGCCGCCGCGCATCGGCGGCAAGCCCCATGGCTCGGCCGAGCCAACTCTCCGGGGCATCCCCGAGGATGGGGGCCTTCCCCGCGTGCCTCCCCCCGCCTGCGGCGCACAGAGGGGTACCGTCATCGGCCTGGACCTGAGGAAAGATGGATAAGGAACGAAGCCCCTTTCTTCCGGGAGTAACGCGTAAGCGACGATCAATAATCAATAACGCACAAGGAACGAGAAACAACGCATGCAAGCGTAAGGAACGACCGAGCTCCTATTGAAGAATAAGGGTTCCTTATGCAAGCCGCTCTCTGTAAGGCTGCAGATGCCCACTATGGAGCACAGCGCATCGCTCCTGGCCGCGTCCCACCACCCTCCCTCACTCAGACGAAACCAAGACGAAAATGAAACCGCTGAGGATAAATCGAGAATCTCTGAGATCCGCTGGCTCTGGAAGATATCTCGGGCGCCGCGGCCATCTCAGAGCGTCCCGGAACGCTCTGAGAGCGTTCCGGAACGCTCTGGAACGGATCCATCCTCGTCCTGGCCCCGTTCGGCTCACTCCTCCTCCTCATCCTCATTCTCATCCTCCTCATCCTCCTCCCCCCCTTTCCTTTCAAGAGCCAGCAGTGGGCAACCCCATGCTGCTCAAGCTGGATCGTCCACCATGTTCGCCCAGCCTGATGCTGCTGGGGATGCCCTGCGGCCGCTGGGTGGCGAAAGGTCGAGACATGACGTTCCGCGAGCATGCGGCATTGGCGCGCGCGGGCCGCAGAACCTGCTGACAGTCTTGTGCGGAAGCTCGGAGCTCGGAAGTGCGCTCTGGAGGCGAAGCTGGAGATGCTCGAGGACCAGGTGCTGATTCAGCGGGGAGCCCCAGGCGCCGACAAGGAGCTGGCCGATCACCTCGCTCTGATCACCCCAGTCTTGATGGCGCAGCTGTCTGGGGAGAAGGCTCGCACTGTCGACGCGGCGCGCCGCAGCGCTGCTGCGCACTGCTTCGGCGCATCGGCCGACACCCTGCCCGCGACGTCGATCACGGGCCCCGGGCCGCATCCAGCGCGGGGCAGGCCCGGGGGGGGGCCGGCGGGCCCGAGCTCGGACTGGGCCGAGAGCGGAGGCGGCGGCAGCTGGGATTGGCGGCGCGCGCAAGGGGGGTATAATGCGGGATGACGATTAATAAAAAATGGGAGAGAACGATTCAAAACATAGTTTTCTGCTATTTCTGCATCATTTTCTGACTGGAGGAGAACAATTAACAAAAAAGTAGTTTTCCAGCCCGCGGCCGGTTTTTTCTAATCGCGATCCCGGGCGCCGCCGCGTGAACACGACCCCCACTCATTTATCAACCGTCATCCTCCATTAGGGGGGAGGCGGGAAGGCTTCTTGAAAGGAGGCCGCTTCTTAGAAGGTGCGGGCCTCACATCTGCGGACAGGGCCAGCCGCTTCTAAGAAGCAGGGGTGCTTCTAAGACGCCTTCCCCCCTTCTCCCCCACCCCCCTCTGGGCGTGGCCGATGGGAGCTTCAGCACGAGCCCGTCGGAGCTCCCCATTGGCCTCGCATGCACGTGCGGTGCCGCCGTCCTCTTCGTCTCTCAAACAGGGCGCAGGAGCGGCGCGGCGAGGACCTCGGCGTCGATGCGTTGTGTCTCCCCGCCGACGTGGAGTGCTTCGTGCCGCTGGAGGTGGTGCACCAACAGCTGCTCGCTTCCGCAGGTAAAGCGCGGAGTCGCCGGCAGCCATTCGCGGGTCGCAGCACGGCCGCGGCCTTGCCAGCGGGCGCTGGCAGCCAGGACGCGGTCCAGGTGCAGACCGAGGCCGAGGACGCTTGTGACGAGTTCGATGACCTCAGGCGCTGTTGAGCCAGGCGGCCCCAGCAGCGGCTTCGACTTCGCCGCCTCCCGTTGTGCGTGAAGGCCTGTGGAGAGCGTGGGGCATGGTGCTCCCGTCCGCTTCTCACAGGTGCAGCTGGAATCTAACGCGATCGCCCCGCCTGGCCCGAATGCTGAATGCATCCAGCAGTAAGACGGATACCACGCTGTCAGGCGCCCTTCCTCGAGGGCTGCCTGGTGGTGTGCGCGTCGTCGCTACCAGGAAGACTCGCATTCCCTGTTCGATCGGCGTCGGCTTCTGCTTCGCGTGCCTAGTCTCGTTCACGGTGCGCGTGTGCATGAAGATCTTTGTCATGGTAAGGTTCAGAGCGTGGGAACGATGGCGGAGTGGTGCGGCGGCAAAATCCTCCTCATGCCCTCCTCCTCCTCCTCCTCCACCTCCTCCTCCGACCTCTCCGTCTCGCTCTCCCCCCGTGGTCCGCCTCCCCTTTGTAATCCACCTCCTCTCTCCTCCTTCTCCTACTCCTCTGCTCTGCTCCTTTTCCTCCTCCTCCTCCTCCTGCGTCTCCTCTCTCCCTCGCTCCCTTCTCCATTCTTTCCTCCCCCTGCTCCTCACAAACGGGTGATGGGGGGGAGGGCGACGACGTCGATGAACGAGGACGAAAAAGGATTTCTGCCGAACGCCGCAGACCATCACAAGGGCTCCCGCCATCGAGGGAACACCACGAACAGGCCCACGAGCCCGAAAGGAGGGGAAGGGGGGAGGAGGAGAATTAGCAATGGGACCACGACGTGGTCGACGACGACGTCGACGCCTCCTCCTAGTCCCCCCCCCTCGCTGAGGGCTCAACGACTTATGCTGTTCGACTCGCGCTGGAGCCTCCACGATTGGTCCAGACTTCCCTTGACATCTGAACCTGACCAGACCCATCTTGACCTACTCTGAACTGCGTCGACTCAGCTCTCGACTTGGCCGCGTCCATTTGTAGCGTTGCCAACTTGCGGCAGCCGCACACCCGTGTCGGCGGGCAAGTTGTGCGACCCCTCTCGGGAGCCCTCGGGAGCCCAACGGTGCTGACGTGGCCCCGTAGTGGCCCCGTGACCCAACGGGGTTATGCGACCCCGTGTTGGCCATGACAGCCGCTCCAATACAGAGCCCCTGTGACGCGAACAACATAGATGGCGCCACTTGTCTTTAAGTCGGGCGTGTCCCCCTACAGGCGGATTTTCGAAGAAAAATGAGCCGATCCGGCGTGTGAGTTGAAGAAAGCTACAACCTGAGCTTCAGCTCTGCTGGGGGGGGCCAGGGTGGCTCTGCCGGGGTAGGGGGGGGGGAGCGGGGTGGGGGGGGTTCATGGGGTCCACCCTTTCTTTTTCCCCCCCCCCCCCGGGAATCCCAAACCGCCCCAAGACGGGCCAAAACGGGCCCAGGAGGCCACCAAGACGGTCCAGGAGGCGCCCGAAACGGCCCACGAGCGCTCCTGGACGCCCAAGATGGCCTGAAGACGGCCTCAGAGGCATCCAAGACGCCTTAAGGAGATCCCAAGAGGACCCCAAGAGAGCCCAAGATGGTACAATGATAAAGTTGCAAATAGATTTTGAAGCATTTTAGCATTATCGCCTTTTCCGTCTTGGAAGCGCCGAAGACGGTCCAAGAGGCCCCCAAGATCGCCCCAAGACGGCCCAAGAGGCCCCCAAGAGGAGCCAAGACGGTCCAAGAGGGCCCCAATATAGCCCTGGAGGTCTCCCAAGACGACCCCGAGAGGCCCCAAGAGGCGATCACTCGCGTGCTGCCAGGCCAGAGGTGCTCGGAAGCGAAAGCGATGAACGAAGAACCTTCCACCCGTCGCCGTCACCAGTCGTCGGTCGTCGGCAGCCGTTCGCCGTCAGTCGTGATCGTGGTCGTGGTCGTGGTCGTGGTCGTGGTCGTCGTCGTCGTCGGTTCGTGGTCATTAACTCCTTCGTCGGTCGTCGTCGTAATTATCCCGCTCGTCGACCGTTGGTCGTCCGTTGTCGTCGTCATCGTCCATTTCAACAACAATAGCATCAGGAGCGCCCCGGATCGGCGGCACTGGCCGGAGGCCACTACAACAATCGATCGTCAACAAATGCTCCGAAATGGTCGACAAATCGTCCCCAGAGTATTCTGTGACTACTTTGGAACACTCCTCCTGCAGAGGGACGTGCCTGACTTACACCACTCGTCCAGCCCGATCCCCGCCGCTCGGAGCAGAGCCGCCGAGCCCTTCCTGGGGGACACCGAGATCCCGCGTTGCAGACGAGTGCGACGTCGTAGAACTCGAGGCCGGCACCCTTGAAGGGGCCCCAGGACACACAAATAAATATACACAAATAAAAACAAGTTCCCCATATTTTCCCGTATTTTCTCGGTTTCTGTCTTCCCCCCCACTTCCCATATTTTCCCATATTTTCTGGGGAATCGAGGATTAATTGTGTCTGTGTGTTTTTTCCTCTCCTAAACCCTGGACCCCCACTTTCTGCGCCGGCCTTTGGGCCAGATCGATCTGGAAGTGTCCCCGAGGCCCGAAGCAGGGCGAAACCGCTCGGTGCGAAAACATGGCAGCGCCAGCATCTCTTGAGCAGGGGCCGACCGTCCCGGCATTCCTATAGGCCTACCACGAGATATTCTTAAACTTAGAACCCAGAAATTCTCTAAGAAAAAAACAGTGTTCTTAGAGCATAGGCCCGATGTGCTAAAAACAGAACAGTCCCCGCCAGAAAGGTTCTAAGAACATGTCGTGCAAACCACCAAGCAGTTCTTAGAACCTTCGCTGGTAGGCCTATAGCCTATAGGCGAGCCGGGAAGCCTCGCCACTGCTTGAATCTCAGGGAGCGCCCCCCCCCCGCAGCCGGGCCGCAGCTCGGCAGAGCGGTGACGGTGCCCGCGGGGCGCGAGAGCGGCTCCAGGCAGAGGCCGCACGGCTCTGCCTCGCCCCGCGGGCGCGGGCCCCGCGCGCTGCAAAGGCCCCCCCCCCCGCTCCCCCCGCCCGCGGCAGCGCCCCGGCAGCGTGGCCTGGCGGCGGCCCAGCAGCGGCTCGGCGACGGCGACGGCGACGACGACGAGGACGACGACGAGGACGACGACGACGACGACGACGGCGGCGAGGACGACGACGACGGCGACGACGAGAACGGCGACGACGACGACGACGGTGACGACGGGGAGGAGGACGACGACGACGAGGAGGACGACGACGCGGACGCGGACGACGCGACGAGCGGCTCGGCAATTTTTTCACCACGGGCGCGTGCGCCCAGGCCCAGGCCCCGGGGCCCTCACAGATCGAGCCGCCTAAAAGAGAGGGAGCCGAACGCTGAAAGCTGACTCTTTTTTTTTCCTGCCCGGCACGGCAGTTCGCACAGGAAAGCGGATCCTGGTGTGTTCACGGGGTCCTGGTGCAGACATTTCTCGCTGCTTCCCCGGGCAAGAACGGGGAAAGCAGTATCCGCCACACCACTCCGACGTCGTGCCCGACCCTCAAGAAGCCCCGGGATCGGAAGACAGCCCACCACTGGTAATGCACCTGATCCAGCTCTCGAGAAGAATGACGCAGAAAGGTAGGGCCTGGGGTTCTGGGCGCGACTTTTCGACGATGCTGCCACGTATTCGCTGCGTCGGATACCTCAGGGCCTAGCGGCGGTCCCGCGGCGGCCCAGCAGCGGCTCGGGGAGGCTGCCTTGGGCGGTGTACTCATCGACCCCCACTTAAGAAACCAGACCCCCCTGCAAATGCGACCTTATATTCCGGACCCTCCACTTCAAGAGGACGCCTCCCCCCCCTCAGCAAAACAGCAGGGCGCCTTCATAAACCGGACCCCCCTATAACCCCGATGCAACGAAAACGCCCTTCTAAACCGGACCCCCCAGTTACGGAAAAGGCGCCTTAAAACACTGGACCCGGGTGACGATTAATAAAGGATGATTTGAATGATCCAAAAGGGGATGCAGCTGAAAGGGGGTGGTGCAATAGATTTGGGGCAAGTGTATTGCAAATGTACTGCGCCGGAGACTTGTATTGCATTCTCTTGCGAGTAATGTGGTGCACGCGAACCTCCAGCAATACATTGCGCCCCGATATGCGTTGCACGCCCCGACATGTACTGCAACCCCACAAATCTACAGCAACAAATCTATTGAGCCACTCCCTTGCCGCTGGACCCCCTCCTGGGTCAACCCGAGATTGCCCGCCACGGTGCTCGCACCCGCAGGCTCCCCGGCGCGCACGTCGGCGCCCTTGGCGGGGCGGGCGCGCACATCGTGCCCGCATGGCTGGGCGGTGCCGCCGGAAGGGCAGTGCGCGGGTGCCTTCGGCAGAATTTATAGAGGGCAGAAAATCCACACCGATGCTCACCACCCCGGCACGCGAAGCCGTTTAGCAAACGCGCCCGAACGAACAAATCACCCCCTGGGCAAGGCTGTTGAGGAAACGCCCTAAGGCCGTTTAGCAAACGCCAATTTGTGCGGTCCGGGTGGTTTTTTTCCCCCTGACTCTGGGGAGGCCGGAGCTGGCCCACAAACGGCCGCCCGAGGCCCGAATTCCCAGACCTCCCACTTCGGGTCGTTTTCGCAGCGCGGTTCCCCATGAGCTTGCCTGCCCCGATGCGCAGCACGCAGCACGCAGCGTGCGGGCGCAGAGCTCGACACGTGGACCGAACACGGAGGTCTGGTGCGACAAGTGCGCCGAAACGTGGACCAAGAGGTGCCGAGGCAACACGCAGCGTGTCAACACGGACGTTCTAAACACGGCATGTGCGGTGATTCGGGGATTCGTTTGCTTTCCGGCTGCTCCGCCGCTCTCCCGCTTTGCCGCCCAGGTCGGAGGCGGGGTCGCAAATTTCGATCTCTGCTCCAGTGGGAGCTCTGCGGCTCCTCTGCTGGCCGGTGGCCTCGCAGAGGAGCTCGGGGTCGCCGCCTTGTTGCGGCGGCGCGCCCTCGCCGGCCGCTGGCGCGGGTCGCTCCGTGCCGTGGCTCTGGGGAGAGCTCTCATGCGAAATCCCCTTCGCACAAGGCCCTCGTCTGCAACGCATATACACGTCGTTCATTTCTACTTGTGCTCATTTCTAATTGCGCTCGATTCTAATTGTTCCTGCCCCCTAGTGGCCAGGAAGAGGCCCAGGATCGAATAATTCGAAATGCAAGGATCTTGGCCCCCCCAAAAATCAAAGGACTCTCGAATAATGAGAAATGAACCATGTGTATACGGCTGGCATGCTTCGACTCGCGTGTGTCGCAGTCGCCGTGGTGGTGTGCCTCGCCTCGCGTGATTGGCCTGTGTGGCCAGCATCCGGCCGGCAAGCTGCGAACAGGACGCGCCGGGAAGGGCGCGAGACTACGTCACCCGAAGACGACGCGGGCGGACGGGTGCCTCACCGGCGAGCGCGCGTGCCCCGCCTCTGGCCGGCCGTGTCGTCCTGGGGGTTCCACCAGGGGGGGGCGCACGCGTTAGGAAGCAACTGCTGGGAGGTCTTCGTCGGAAAGGTTAAGGAGGATTAAGCCCCATTGCGGGGCTGTTACGCCAGAGTGGGCGTCGGATTAAGCGGGATCAACCCGGATTTAGCGGGATGAAGCGGGATTGAACCGGACTTCGGACCAAGGCAAAATCATAATTTAACCTCCCAGGAGTTGCATCCGAGCACGCGTACCAGCCGAATCGCGTGTGCTAAGGGTGGTTGCGCCTGCGCGCGTACGGGAAGGCAGCGATCGCGGAGGGGGGGGGAGGAGGAGGGAGAGGGCGTGATCCAACTCGACAGGAGGGGCAGCCGCGCCACAGGACGAGCCAAACGTCGCGCACAGCGGCGAGCTCGCCGCGGGACCACAGGGCCCCGACGCACCTCGCGCGTGGGCGCAGCCTGGGCGAGGCGGCACGAGCAGGCGGGGAACGACGACGAGGAGGACGACGGCGCCGACGACGCCGGCCCCGATCCCGACCCCGACGACGCCGACAACAGTCGCCGACTCCGACGATGACGCCGGCGCCGGCGCCTACGACGCCTACGACGACGACGACGACGACGACGACGACGACGACGACGACGACACCTACGACGACTACGACGACGACGACGACGACGACGACGACACCTACGACGACTACGACGACGACGACGACGACGACGACGACGACGACGACGACGACGACGACGACGACAGAGACGACGACGACGACGACGACGACGACGACGACGACGACGACGACGACGACGACGACGACGACGACGACGACGACGACGACGACGACGACGACGACGACGACGACGACGACGACGACGACGACGACGACGACGACGATGACGATGACGATGACGATGACGATGACGACGCCGCCGCCGCCGCCGCCGACGAGGCGCGTGGGGCGCCGGCCGCTCTGGCCTCGGGCTCGGCCTGCTGGCTGGAGGCCGCCTGCTGCTGCCTGGGGGCCCCCCGCGGCCCAGGCGCGCGGGCGCCCCGCCCCTCGTCGCGCACGCAGGGGGTAGCTGTACACCACCGCCGCGCCTGCCCAGGGCCACCCTGCCCTGAGACCCTGGCGTTGCAGCTTCTCCCGGCAGTCCTGTGGCGTCGGGTCCTCGTTCCGAAGGGACGGTCCCCGCGTTCCCTCCCTCCCTCCTTCCTTCCTTCCTCCCTCCTCCCCCTCCTCCCTCCTCCCCCTCATTGCCTCTGCCATCCGCACGTCCATTTCGGCACACCCCTCACACGCTGCGTGGCCCCATAATGAGACCCACCGAAGGCCCCACTGGCTGCGTCCGCAGGCGTCCTCCCTGCCCACTGAATGCCAATTTCGGCAGACCCCTCACACGTTTCGGGGCCACATCGGGAGCTCCACCGAAGGCCCCAGTGGCCGCGTCCGTATGCGTCCTCCTCGCCCACCGCATGTCCATTGCGGCACACCCCTTACACGCTTCGTGGCCCCATAGGGAGCTCCACCGAAGGCCCCAGTGGCCGCGTCCGCAAGCGTCCTCCCCGCGCAGCGGCGCAGTTCGCATGCGTCTCCCCCGCACAGTACAGCGCTTCGTGGCCCCACAAGGAGCTCCATCGAAGGTCCCAGTGGCGCAGTTCGCATGCGTCTCCCCTACCCAGCACAGCGCCTCGTGGCCCCATCGGGAGCTCCACCGAAGGTCCCAGCGGCGCAGTTCGCATGTGTCTCCCCCCACCACCCAGCATACCGTTTCGTCGCCCCATGGGGAGCTCCACCGAAGGTCCGACTGGCGCAGTTCGCGTGAACAGCGTTTCGTGGCCCCATAGGGTGCTCCATCAAAGGTCCCAGTGGCGCAGTTCGCATGCGTTTTCCCCAGCCAGTACAGCGCTTCGTGGCCCCCATAGTGAGCTCTACCGAAGGTCCCAGTGGCGCAGTTCGCATGCGTCTCCCCTACCCAGTACAGCGCTTTGTGGCCCCATCGGGAGCTCCACCGAAGGTCCCAGCGGCGCAGTTCGCATGTCTCCCCCACCCAGCATACCGTTTCGTCGCCCCATAGGGAGCTCCACCGAAGGTCCCACTGGCGCAGTTCGCGTGAACAGCGTTTCGTGGCCCCATCGGGAGCTCCACCGAAGGTCCCAGCGGCGCAGTTCGCATGTGTCTCCCCCGCCCAGCATACCGTTTCGTCGCCCCATAGGGAGCTCCACCGAAGGCCCCACTGGCGTAGTTCGCGTGAACAGCGTTTCGTGGCCCCATAGGGTGCTCCATCAAAGGTCCCAGTGGCGCAGTTCGCATGCGTTTCCCCAGCCAGTACAGCGTTTCGTGGCCCCATAGTGATCTCTACCGAAGGTCCCAATGGCGCAGTTCGTATGCGCCCCCCCACGCAACGCAACGTTTCGTGGCTCCATACGGAGTGTGCACCGAATGTCCCAGTGGCGCAGTTCGCATGCGTCTCCCAATCCCAGTACAGCGCTTCGTGGCCCCATAAGGAGCTCCACCGAAGGTCCCAGTAGCGCAATTCGCATGCGTCTCCCCCACCCAGTACAGCGATTCGTGGCCCCAGAGGGAGCTCCACCGAAGGTCCCAATGGCGCAGGTTCAATGCGTCTCCCCCACCCATTACAACGTTTTGTGGCCCCAGAGGGAGCTCCACCGAAGGCGATGCCCACAACTGCGGTGCTCAAAACTGCACATGGTTGGGTCCTTCGCCAAGCTGATTTGACAACGGGCACTTTCGCCATGGCTCGGGCCCCAGGGCCCTCACATATCGATCCGATTCAAAATATGATGCAGAAAGATGGGGTGCGAGGCTCCGATCGTTCTGTTTCTTTCACAGCCATCCTGTGGTGTTGGGTCTTCGTTTTGAAGAGACAGCGCCCCGCGTTCGCCTACCGCCTCCTCCCTCCTCCCACCCCTGCCTCTGGCCTCCACATGGCCACCACCATCACCCCTCACACGTTTCCTGGCCCCATAGGGAGCTCACCCGAAAGCTCCAATGGGAGGGTTCGCATGGCACCACCGCGCCCAAGTCGGCACACCCCTCACACGCCTCGTGGCGCCATAGGAAGCTCCACCTAAGGTTCCAGTGGGAGGGTTCGCATGGCACCACCGCGCCCAAGTCGGCACACCCCTCACACGCTTCGTGGCCCCATAGGGAGCTCCACCGAAGGCTCCAGTGGGAGGGTTCGCATGGCACCACCGCGCCCAAGTCGGCACACCCCTCACACGCTTCGTGGCCCCATAGGGAGCTCCACCGAAGGCTCCAGTGGGAGGGTTCGCATGGCACCACCGCGCCCAAGTCGGCACACCCCTCACACGCTTCGTGGCCCCATAGGGAGCTCCACCGAAGGCTCCAGTGGGAGGGTTCGCATGGCACCACCGCGCCCAAGTCCGCACACTCCTCACACGCTTCGTGGCCCCATAGGGAGCTCCACCGAACTCGGTACCCACAATCCGGTACTCGCAGCTGCACATGGTTGGGTCCTTCGTCAAGCATTTGTTTTTTGTTGTCTTGGCGATGTTGCATTGTTTTGGGCAACGTCGGATCTCAGGGCACACCACGGCCGTGCCTGCCCAGGGCCACCCGGGGCCGATGGCGTGCCGTGCACGCCGTCATGGCACTGTCCTTGTGCCCAGGATGGCCCTCGCCGGGCCCCGCACGTGGTGCGCGGGCGGAGGCGCCTCGGCGCCCTCACGGTGGCGGCGTGTCGATGCAGTCTGCGGGCCGTGCTGTCGTCCTCCTCCGGCCCATCCCCCCCCCCCCTCCTCCCCACCCCTGTGCGAAGACGGCCGACACGTCCGGGCCGCCGTCCCCGCCATCGCCTCTCTCCCCCCCGACCAGCTGACGCAGCGCCGCGTGGCCTGCCGCCACGGCCTCAGCGCCCGCGCAGGCTGCCGCGCGCGCGAGTTGCCGTCGACACCGCGGCAAGATCCAACCCGCCGACAGGTGGAGGAGGGATGGCACGAAGTCAGTTTCGCGTGGCCTGAGCGCTCGGTAGTTGACGCACTCGCAACGCTCGTCGCAAGTCTCTCCCTGCGGCTTACCCTTCTAGCTTTCAAGCCTTGCGATCGTTTCGGGTTTCAAGCAAGCTGGCCTCGCCTCAGGCTCCGCCTCAGGCTCCACCTCAGGCTACGCCTCAGTGTGGCCGCCGTGCCCGTTGTACCTCTCGTCCGCAACGCATATACGGCTGGCATGCTTCGTCTCGCGTATGACGTAGTCGTCGTAGTGGCATGCTTCGCCTCGCACATGCCGTAGCCGTTGTAGTGGTCATGGCCTGTGTAGCTGGCATCTGGCCTCAGGTTTCGCCCCACACCTGTTGCCCTGGGTGTCGTAGCCGCTGTGAGCCTAGCCTGAACTTCGGCCTGCTTCTCCGTTTGCTGTCGTAGCCGTCGTAACGGCCGCCGTAGGCGTAGTAGGTGGCTTCGGGCAATGATCGCCACGTAGCCGCCGTAGGCCTCGTAACAACCTCGTAGCCTTCTCTCTGGCTTCCTCGGCCTCGTAGCTGTTGTGACCGTCGTAACCTTGGTGGTCGTCGTGGGCGTTGCAGCCGTCTCTACGGCCTGCTTAGCCTTGTGGCTGGTGAAAGGGTCGCGAAGTCGTGGAGGGCGTTGCAGCCGTGGCTGGCTTCTGGCCTGACTGGTCCCCTCGTGGCACTCGTTGGCGTTACAAGTCGTAGCCGGCTCTCCAGCTCGCTCCGCCCAGTGGCTGTTGTGGTCGCTGGGGGCGCTCTGGCTGGCCGTCTGTCCTTCTTCGCCTCGTGGCCGTCGTAGCCTTCTCTCGGGCCTGCTCCTCCTGGTGTCCCTCGCGGCGGTCGGAGCCGTCGTGGGCCTTGTACACATGGCTTCCGGCTGGTTCCGCCTCGCAGCCGCCGTGGATGTGGCCTTCCATCCGGCTTGTTCCACGTGGTGGCTGCTGCAGAAGGCGTCTCGATCAGGGGTTGATAAAAGCACCCCTGGCCCGAGGTGCCCCCAGCTGTTCGTTGGGCCTCGTGAGGGGTCCTGGGGCCGTCTGGGCCCCGTGAGGGGTGCCCCTGGGCCCCCTCGCCAAGGAGCCCCTGGGGCCCTCTGGGCCTCGTGAGGGTCTTCGATCCTCAAAGGCAAGGCCTCTGCTTGAACGCCCCAGCTGGAATCCCTGGTCGTCCCCCTCCGTCCTCCTGCTCGGCAAAGGGGGAGGGGGTCTCGCTCTTCGCCCACAGCTGCACCGCGCCTGCACGGCCGCGAGGCGGCTGTGCAGAGGAGTGGGCGCGGCGCAGTGGGCCTCCTCCTCCTCCTTCCCTCCCTGCTCGTCCTGTTCCTCCTGCTCCTCCTCCTCCTCCTCCTCCTCCTCCTCCTCCTCCTCCTCCCGCCTCCTCTTTTCCTTCATTGACTGCGCTTCGACCTGCCTCTTCTGCTCCTCCTCCTCATCCATCCCCGTTCCTTATACGCAGCTCCTCCCTGTGGCACACTCCGGCGCGTCGGTAGGACGGGTTGGGCGTTTCGCCTGAGATTTCCTCGTCGTCGCGGTCCTGAAGCTTGAAACCCGCAGCAGCTACAAGAATGGAGGCGGGGCCGTTTGCAAAGTGCGGCTGTCGCCTGAACACCGCGCGCAATCGTCGTAGAGTTTGCGGGGGCTTCAAGGATGGAAGGGCGGTGGTTTCCAAGATGGGGCTCTCGCCGTAGCGCCGCACCCATTCGTCCGAGAAGTTTGCAGCAGCTTCAGGGGTGGAATTGCTTTGGGGAAGCGGGGCTCTCGCCGCATCACCGCGCACGTTCGTCTTTAAACGTCACCAGCCGCTTCGAGGATGGAGGGGGTAGCTTTCAGACAGGGGCTGCCGCCTTTGCTCCGCGCACACTCGTTGCAAACGCGTGCAGCAGCTTTTTAAGGATCGAGGGCGGTGTTCTTTCAAACTGGCTCTCTCGGCCTGGCGCCACGCACACTCGTCTTGACGAACGGTAGCTGCAGGGATGGAAGACGATTCCTTTTTCAAACAGGGGCTTTCGCTCGAGACTCGATTCGCACTG